GACCCGGCCAGATGCAGGTGACCGACTCTCCAGAAGAGCTTCCCCCACTTCTTCGTCGACGTGAAGGAACTTCAGGACCCTTAGAGGACAGAGTGACGTTGAAGATGGCCTCCTTTGGTGCCTTGTCCAATGCTGAAACCATTCGCAAAGGCAAGGGCCGGGGAAAAGGCAAGGGAAAGGGAAGCCGCCCGGGAGGGCAGGCCCAACGCTCAACAAATGCTGAGGATTACATCTACAGCTCAAAGATTGAGATGCAACAGGTCCGATGCCACTTCTGCGGCGAACAAAACATTGAGGGCACCCACAAATGTCAGTCGTGCTTCAAATGGCTGATTGCTTGGTCGGATGGAAGAATTGCGACGGAGGTATGCCGGATGGAAATCTCGGCCAAGAAAACCAACAAGGTATTTTCTCTGGACAAAATCGACTTTGAGAAGCAGCCTCGAGCTCAGCGAGTCTCCGACCGCACCCGAGCAGATCAACGTCGAGCTGGACGAAGCAATTTCGGAAATCTCAAGGACGCTGCTCAGACACATGCGGGAAGATACACGAAGCTCGGCTTCAAGTCGATCCAGGACCGCATGGAGAAGGACCCATTTTATTTGTTCAACAATGCGGTCGGCCAGATCACTCCCGACTGTTGCCAATTTTTGGAGGACTTGGCAAAATGCATTGCCCCTGATGTCGGCCGTACCCGAGAGAAGCGAGAAAAGCAGCTGGGAACAGGTGTCAGCACTCGTTTGATTTTCATGCCAGACTTCAACAGAGACATCCGACTCCCGTTGGACGTTACAAAGGAAGCCATGGTTGCACATCACGCACGAGTTTTTACACTCCCACAATTTGCTGTTCTTGCTGCGGACTTGCTGAAAGCGAGGGGGGAACCCACGCCGATGTTGTTTGGTTGGTCTGGCTCAATGATGCCTGTGGATCAAGGGTCAGCCCAAGATTGTTTCTTTGACCTCGTCGATTTTGCGAAGAGGCAGTGGAGGGAACAATACAACAACATCAAAGGCGAAGAACACTCCTTCGTGGATGAAGCCACTGCATCAGATGTGGCTGATTTTCCATTGGCAAGGTCCTCCAAGACGGGTACGGGCGAAGGGCGAGAAGGATACCGGCGTCACTTTGACCCGATTCAGAAGCCAGCCAAGGGCAAAGGAAAGGGGTATGGTCAGCAACAGCGCCCAATCTTTCAGCAGGCTATTGAGTGCTGGAAGTGCGGTCAATATGGCCACAAATCCTTTGAATGCCGCAGTGGATGGAGCCGAGGGCAACAGTGGGGTTCGTATGGATCTTACTCAAGCCGCTCGGGAGGGCAGGCCCAATGGCAAAGCTGGAATTGGAATCAGGGCTACTCTGGCCGAGGTTGGACTGCTGATCCTTGGGGAAGATCTTCAGCATCAAGCTCCTCGGCAGCTCCTCCGGAACCAGTGCGGCCACCATCAACAGCGACGCCTATGCCTGACACAACACCAGCTGCTGGCGATTCTGCCCAAGCTGCTTCTGGATCAGCTACCGCAGCAGAGCCTCCACGACAAGTGCCTCGTGCACCAGTTGTGATTGCCGAGGAGTACTGCGAGATCAACGGCCAGCCGCACTACAAACGCACCTACAACGATGGGACGGTAGAGTTTGAATCTTGGTAGATGTTTCACATCTTGTGCCATGATTTTTATGCCTACCGGAAGGTTTGGCCGATTGGATGAAAGCTGACCCATGGTCATTCAGTTCAATCGAATTGCACACATTTCCAAAGCTTTAAATTCCAATTTGATTGACTTGAAACTTTTCACAATTGATTCAAAGAGATTGACATCAGCATCCGATCCTTTGCGGTAGTTGCACGTGTACAGATGCCGTGTAGATTAGCCTGATATAGCTGTTTCCGAAACCAATGGCAAGATAGAGGAGTGGTAATGCTCCTATGCCTTGGCGGAAGCCAGGCCAATCTCGCTTTTGCCTCTGTCTGAATTGTGCGTTACCCCGGATTGAAAATGCTTTGCATCCGTACTCATATTCCTGCCTCATGCATTCGAGCATAGACCAAGCCCACACAACATGATGATAGGTGGTTTGTACAGTGATGTCTGCTTTTGCCCGCTCTCAGGTCACATCTGGCGGGCTACTCCTTCCGACCTCCGCGCAACTGCGGACGGCGGGGGGTGTTTTTAGTGTATATCCCTGTACATACTTATGTAATTCATCTTATACGTTGTGTTCATGGCTCAAGCAAAACAAGCGCGTTTGCTGATGCTTTCAGGTTGTTTAACCTGTAAAACAGTTTCCATTTTGGTGTTACGACATGATTCAAGTGTATGGTATTTAATCGTTTTTCCCGTTGCGTTGTGCACACCCCATGATCTCAGCAACGGACACTGATGGAGGCCAAACATGTGGAAACAAATACGACAATTTTGGCTTTGGATTCTGCAGCGGAAATTGCTCGACCTATTACACGTGCTTTCAAAAGGTTCGAGATGGAAGGCTGGGAATGGGGATCGATGTTTCTTCCTAACGTTTGGAATCTATGCGACATTCCAATCATAGACCTGAGTGCTTAAACTTTGCCCCGGACGGACATGTTTTGGACATGCCGATCTGTTCAGTGCAGGCACCGTGCACTCGGTTGACCACCGAAAGTTCAAGGTCGAGGCGATGTGGATGGGATCATGGATGATCATGGGTTTGAATAATCTCGCACACAGTCATTGCCCAAACTATCCCACGATTCAAATTTTGCAAGCGAAAACATGATCGTATCGTGAATTTTAAATTGTGTGTAATTATGTATTGTTGTGTAAATCCCACAGGATTTCTTGGGAAATCATGTCAATTGCAGGGCATGTTGGACGACTTTCTTCCAGAGGCAAGGCACAAATTGCATTTTGGTGCAGCAATGTTTCGTCGTACTTGGATTCGTCATGGTAGTGTATCCTTGTTTTTTTGCGCATTAGTCCACAACAGCATCATTTATTTTCAGATTTCGCAAGGCTGACGAACGCCCAACAACATCGCTGGCGAAGTTCTTGCAAGTTGCAAACTTGGTGTCAAAAACAACATTATGGGAAAATGAGTAAGAGAAACCGTTTTCGTTAAAACGGTTGCATTTGATGCTGGATTCATGTGACTGTGAAGAAAAAACGTTCGAGGCCAAAAGTAACTCGCCAGACTATTCAGAAGCATTAGAGGCGGGCGGTCGGAATTTGTCACTATGCACAGGAACTCAATGAATCTTTGTTTACCGGAATGTCTTTGCAATTTCTGATTGTTACCGCAATGCTGTCGTTGAACTGCCACCCTTTTTTAACTTTGGATGTTGTGGAATTGCCAACAAACCAGGCAAACAGTGAAACCCCTTTTCCCAACATTTATATACATATCAATATAAGTATAAATATAAATATAAAAATATAAATAATAATAATAATCATATAAATATACATATAGATATAAATATAAATATAAATATAAATATAAATACAAATATAAATATAAATATAAATATAAATATAAACATAAATATGAATATGAATATGAATATGAATATAAATATACATATACAATATATATATATAGATATACATATAAATATAAATATAATTATACAGTAAATATAAACGTAAATATAAATGTAAATATAAATATAAATATAAATATAAATATAAATGTATAATATAAGTATATATAAATATAAATATAATATATATATATGTATAGATATATACATATAGATATATACATATAGATATATACGTATATAGATATATACGTATATAGATAGATAGACAGACAGACAGATAGATAGATAGATAGATAGATATAAATATAAATATAAATATACATATACATATAAATATAAATATAAATATAAATATAAATAAACATATAAATATAGATAAATATATATAAAAAAGTAGATATAGATATCAATATCAGTATCAATATCAATGTCAATATCAATATGGATATGGACATGAATACGAATATATGTATAAATATAACTATAAATATGAATACACATATAAATCTCTGTATAGATATGAGTATACATATAAATATCACTAGAAATATCAACATAGATATAAATACATATACACATATATATATATATACACATGTATACATAGATATGTAAATAATAAATATACATATAAATATACATGTAAACAATTACAAGGATCCACAATTGGAGGGAATTCAACGCGCAGGTCTGTCATTTTCCAAAATTCCGGGCTTCAATTTCCCCCAAACCTTTGCACAATTCACTGATTTCACTAGCACCTTTCATTTGTCACACTTAAGAAATTAAAAGTTTACGGGACATCCATGTGTTGTTTTGGACCACGTCATCCCGGAACATGTGGAAGTTCTCTGAACATGGTTTGTGGAACATTATTTGGGTTGCTCAAACTTTAAAAAAATGGGTTGTTCCACCAAAAGTCCTCCAATCCATGGTTCGTATCCAAACTGCTAGGCCACAATGGCCGAAAGCGTTGATTCGATCCTCCGAGCGCAGTATGACCTGTCCGAAAGAGAGAGGCTGGAACCTGACCGAAGTGAGACCTGCAACTTGGGAGAGACCAGAAAATTTCATGAATTCGGAGAATTTGTGATTTGCTCGTTCAAATGTGTTGATTAAGTCTGCAAGATCCCGTTTTTGTGGATTACTGACATGTCCCATGTTGAAATGTTGTTGGATGTGAGACTTTTCCCACTTCCACGCAATCTCTGCAAGGCCAAAACCTTATCGTGTGGCAACACTGGCTGAAGATTGGTATGAAGATCTCCAAAAGAAACCTCGAATCATGTTTGCAATTGTTACCATGCGGCAATGAAACATGGCAATGGAAAATCTACCATTTATCGATGATTTTCCCATTTCAATCTCCATTGTTGTAGGATTTCCCCCATTGCCGTGTTCGATTATATACAGAGATCATCATCGCATGGGTCACATCTCACTGGTCTTCTGAAGCTGCCGGACTGCTGACTGCCAGATGAAAGCCCTGTCCGTCCGACAGCGTGCGGACTTGCTTATTTGGATCATGCAGGCGGCATGACAGTTGTTTCTGTGGGATGTTGATATTTTTGTATCATCTTATCCAGAGAAAAGCACAAAATCATAAAAGCACAGGGAGCTGACTTGTGCATGCTGTGCGTCGAGGCATTTAGCGTGGTTGGAGTAGATGATTCCATGGCTGGAGACTTTGTTGGCGAGGAGACACGTTTATTGAATTTCTATGGTCCATCTCTTGGTCAGAATGACCTTGGTAAAGGAGCCCAGCTCTTTGATTTCCAAACGAAGTCTGTTTGAAGGCACGTCAGCAAACAAGAGAATGATATAGAAGCTTGAAGCGGTCAGCCCGTAGCATTACATTTTAGGTAATAGGACCTTTTGTGTGAGAAGGACCACGTTGACCCATTAATCAGAACTGGCTTCGTTCACCGGACTTGGTACATACAAAAACAGATTTTGAAGTAGACCGCAGAGCCTTACTGAGGTTCATGGGGTTGCCCTGAACATCGACAGGCAAGAACAATGCGAAAGCATGAAATGACTCCAGATTGTGTTGTGAGCGCTACATTTTTGGATTCAACTATTTTGAAATTAGAATTCATTGAACAGATCCGGAAATCTTTCTGTAGTGTGCGTGTTTCAGGTTGGTTGCGACTTATGCAGGCGCATCTACGTTCGTCACTACTTGTTCCTACCATCAAATTGAAACTGTGAAGTCGGCGATATATCCGGCTAGCGGAAATTCTCAAGATAATAAGTGCTCTTGACAGCATAGGGCATAGGGTCACCAAGTTCCATTTGTGTATGTCAGCAATTGCTGGAAATCATGCTTTGGTGGAGATAGAAATTAGCCTGTTATTCTGGAAGAAATGAATGCACAGTCCTACCAGGGTGTTTGGTGAACCTCTGTCAGCTTTGGCCAGGAGAAGAAAGCCTGCCACACGGCTGTTTGCCATGCATCTTGCTGGCCATTGCTTGATGCCTAGAAGCTGAAGATGGTTCATGGCAAGTTGTCAGCATTCACACAACTTCAATCTTTGAGATGTGATTTCTATGGCAGAATCCAGGAACATATCCCCCACTGGGACATTGTCAACTTCCTGCCGAGGTCTGCACAGAGTTCAAAACAGATGGACTGCGCCTCAGGGGTTAGGTTTGGGCGAAAATGGGTTTTGATTGGGGAAAATGATCAAAACCAATGGGATTACTAGAGTGCTCCATTTTCAGATCGATTTATTTGTGATTCCATGATCAATGGTGGTTCTGCATTCTGGATGCAAGTAAGACATTTTGAAAGTGTGCTAAAAGGTTGTATTGACTGACTCAAGTTTGAACGAACAGCTTTGTGGGCATGTTGGAATGTCTCAATGGAAACGACGCAGACATCCCAAACTTCGGTACTTTTGATTGGTTTGAGGGATTTTTTGACTGAGGCTTTAGCGACCATCCAGACAAAGAGTGGAAGCAAATCTTGACGCACATGTGCAGGGTGCGGCCAGCGAAACTATTGACATGGAATCTCCAGATCTTTCGAGTTGTTACACCTTAGCCGCCTTAGCCTCTTAGTCAAAACCCAATGGTGTTTGGACTGGGCATGTGAAACTGTATGCCTTTACCTTTTATGATGTGTGGTCTGGGACAAACAATCTTCTCATGACCTGAAGTCTGTCACATTGGCTGCTACGGATCCAAACGCAGCTCTGTTTCAGCTTTGAGCGATGGCAATCTGCGGGGTTTGGGAGTCGGTGTGACCAGAGAGGTCAAACATGGTCAAACACCATCTTAGAATATCTTAGATCCCATTTGTATGGGTGTGACCAGAGGGTGTCATGAAGGTGTCATGAAGGTGTCATGAAGGTGTCATGAAGGTGTCATCATCGCCAGGGTCAGATTCCGATGATTCAGATCCTTCGCGTGGAGCTGAAAATCCTTTCCAGGTGGGGAAACGGTCATTTTGGGGGGCTGGAAACCTACTCTGCAATTGCGCAAGCTTGTGGAGCTCACTGGAAGATCAGGGTGAACGACTGAGGTGATGTTGTCATGTTGTCTTGACTCAAGAGATTTCAAGAGTAGACTGTAAACTGAGTAGACTGGAACCAACCAGTTCAACCAAGCACGCTTTCATCGCTTTTCCTCCAGGCTTCAGTATGTGGTGGGTTTGCCGACACCTTTGACTTTCCTGCGGAGTCAGGGCACTTGGCAAAGCTTCGTCAGAGCAAACCCTCTTAGTTGCAGAGATTCTCCAGCAGTTCCTCATGATTCTTGTGGAAGTGTTGAGTTCTCGGCAGTTCAAACCTGGAACTGTTCAGATTTATCAAATTTATCAACAAACCTTCAGACCCGGAATTGATCTCTTCAGTCCGTTTCGTGGGCTGCCACTGTTTGCCAAGGCCTGACTGCCCACTTGCGCCAGGAAGAGCAGGTGTGGCGAGTTCAAATCCTGTTGAGAGTCCAGCATGGCATCTCCAAGTGGGTAAAGTCATTCAGGCGTTCACGTCATGTGATTTGGAGCCAATTGAAGCCTCTGTGGAAAGATAATATATGATATATTTGTGACTCCGCGACTACGAATCGCACATCAGCAGCTATTCTGAGAAAACGGTGCTCTCGATAAAGCTGTCAGCTAACCGATTTGTTCTTTCTTGTTTGGGCTGCAAGACAAATGTTCGTTCACTAGGGTTCAAAGCGGAAAGTAGCAAAAAACAAACATATGATACAGTACAGCCTCAGAGGAGATTCCCAGGTGATTAAGTGTTCTCTGATCTTGGCTCATCTTGGCTCATCTTGGCTCAAGGACCGTTGCCATCGTTCAGGTAGACGCCCCATGCATAGCGGAAGTGGGCTTTAACAGACCCATAAATCCCATGAAGGTCTTTTTCTTCTACGACTCAAAGTTTGTTCCTCTGCGTGACTACATGGTGGCCTCCATGGAAGCTTCTCAGCCTGCCTCGGCTTTTCAACTGCAGGAAGATATCCTTGATGACCTCAAAGGAAACAATCGTGCCGTTGTTTGGAATAGTCAAGTCTCTTAGTATCTTAATAAGAGTTTGACCCAAAAATCCCAGTGGCTCTTCACTGTTGTAATACTGTTGTATGTATAGTAATTCTGGGCAAGTCTGAATTTTTGGAGCACACCTGGCTGGGACCCTACAAACCCCACCATACCTTTCAGGTGCAGGAGGAGGCATGCCAACCTATTTGTACAAATCGGCGAAGATTTGCAAGGCCCTCGACGAGGTCGACAAAGATGAGGTCTTTCTATTCACAGACGTGGATGTGCAATACTTCCAACCAATTCATCAAATCGTTGAGGACTGCATGGTCAATGGAACTGACATCATTTTTCAGAAGGAGTTTGAAGATATAGGCCGGGAGCGACCAAAAGAAGGTTTTTGGCATTCATCGTTTTGAACGGCATGCCAGGATTGTGTTGGATTCAATGAACATGCGTGACGAAGGATTTTCTTGCATGTTTTAGTCCCCTTTGGACCTGTGAACCTCTGGCACGGCCTCCAAGTTCTGACTGAACTACAGGAGTCAACATCGGTTTTATGGCCATGAGGAACACTTCGGCATGTCGTGGCTTTTGGGACTACGTGCATGCTGAGATCAGTCGGACACAAGCTTTGGACCAGCGAGTGGTAAACAATTCGCTCTATTCAGGTCCGGACTGAACATTTTCAGCTCTTTTTTTGCTGATCTCAGTCAAACAATGAATCGATCATTCCTAGTCAGCCCAAAGTCATCTTTTCGTCTGTTTAATTTCGATCACAAAACTGTGGGTTTGTCCAGGAAAAATTGGGTATGGTGATTCTTTTTTGCCTTCCATCCATTTAAACACTTTCGCCCCAAACGGGACGTTGCTCCACACTTACACTTACAATCATCATGATCATCATCGTCATCATCATCATCATCATCATCATCTTTATCTTCATAAGGGATCAACATTTGCCACCCCCTATGAACAATATGTTGATTGGGGTAATAACATCATCTTTGTCTTTATCTTCATAAGGGATAAAAAATCGCCACCCTCTATGAACAGTATTTTGACTGGGGTAACAACATCAACTTTGTCTTCATGAGGGATCAAAGTTCGCCACCCCCTATGAACAATATGTTGAGTTGGGTAATAACATCATCTTTATCTTCATAAGGGATCAAAATTCGCCCTCCCTATGAACGATGTTGATTGGGGTAATAAAATCAACTTTATCTTCATAGCCACCTGAAGTCAGACGCGGAGCAACGTCAGGGTTGCAGCGAACACTTTTAAACCAGCACCCACAGCATTTCTCCTTAGGTCACGCGTGTGGCGAGTTTGGCTTACGGTGGGATCGATGGCCTAGCAAGATTTGGGCCTCGTCGATGGCTTTCTCAGGGCCGCTGCCTGAAGCCATTGCGGTGCATCATGCGAATTTCTTAATTGATAAGGCCAGGAAAAGGACCATTAAAGAAAATAAACAGCTAGACTGCAATGTCTATGACCAAATTCGTTGCTGATTAAATCATGTTGACACATATACATATCATGTTAACCCCAAACAAATGCAGGAACATGTTAACTCTACCACCGTTCAAGAAAGGCATTTCGCACTGTTTTTTTTTTAAAGTTAATATATGTGCCGGGCCGTGGTCAAAAGTTGGATCCGCCACCTGCGCTTGGGATCACGGAGTGTGGACGCTTCAGATCCGCATATCGGATGGTCATTAATTTATACCCATTACAAGGATTTCAAATAGGATGGATGACCACAAACCCGAAAAACCATGTCTTGACCTTAGCACATATGGGCTGTGTCAAATTATTTCAGGTTTAAGGAACTGTGGCCCTCTGGCAATTTTTGCTACAAGTCTAGGAAGGAATATTTGGACATATTTGGACTTACTCCAGCAAGTACTGAAAGGTTTCTCCACTGAATGTGGATTTGCTCACTGGAGCCCTCGGTCTTGTGATTGAAACATCACCTCTGCTTAGTAAGACGATGTAAGACGTTGGATCCTGGGTCCCTTTCCAGGCCCCCTCTGCAGATCCAATGCCAAAGTTGGAACAGTTGAAGCAGTTGGCCAGCGAATTGCACGAGCGCAAGGAGCAGGTGCAGGCGACGGCAACCGTGAGGCCCTGGGCGACCTTCATGGAGGCAGCAAGAGGCGACGGTTGAGGGTTTGAAACGGGAGGCGCTCTCACTGAAGGCTTGGGTGTTTGGGATTCTAGAAAGCACCAGTGCTAACTGGGGAGGTTTCAATCAATGAGGGCTTGTATTTATAACTATTTATATATATATATATGTATATATATATATGGAGGTTTCCTAAAATAGGGATACCCCCAAATCATCCATTTGAAAGGGATTTTCCATGATAAAGCATCCAGCTATTGGGTACCCCCATTTCAGGACACCATACATATAACAGAACTGAGAGGATATATCAGGATTTTCACCCGTATAGTCTTTGGGGTTTTGCCCGTATAGTCCTTCATCATATCCTGGTATAGGCGTTCGAGGTTCCAGTCTTGATAAGGTAAAGATGACCTTACCACCACTATGTATATAGTATATGAAATATAGTATACAGTATGTATACAGTATATAGTATACAGTATGTATAGAGTCTTGATAAGGTATATATGTAATATAGTATATAGTATGTATATATATATATATATTATATTCAAGAACCTGGGACCTGAGGCTGCCAAGCCATGTTGGACTATCGTAGCCGCCACTTTGGTGAACGTCGCCCGGGGCCCGAATGGTCCATGCTAGCAGAGGGCCATGTGGCGCGGCCCGGGGGCTACAGCGAAAAGGCTGCGAAGAAGCGAGCGAAGGAAACCATGGCACCAGATGGCGCAGATGGATAAGTTGATGTGAGATAAACTCTGGGTGTTAAGCGGCTGCCAGTGCAACTGGAACAGATCTCTGAGGAGATTTATGATGCTCTTCATGTTGCCCATAGAGTAGGGGTGCCTTAAAATTGGGCATTCCACTCCGAGTGGTGTTTCTTGGCGATCTTGATTCAAGCGCATTGGAAGTGAAGCCCGGCCCAGAGGCAAAAATCTGTGCAACACTGGATTTGGTGTCAAACTATTGAAATTCCATTTGCCATGTGCAGCCAAACAAGGTAGGCTAAATGTACGGTCCCTTTGCTAGACGTTTTGTGACGCTATGCTCCTCGCCATCTTCGTTTCCACGGCACAGGCTGGACCCTGGATCAGCTTGGCCAAGTTCCTTCTGGAGTTGGCGATGCTTGAGCCAGAGATCCAGGTGGGGAAACTGTGCAGCTTGGTTAATTAAGTTGAAATGGTCTGCGTAAATGGTCTGAATAAATGGTCTGCGTAGATGGTCTGCGTAAATGGTCTGCATAGTGGTGAGGTTTGAAAAGCAGTGGGTCATTTTCTGAATGATTTTCTTGTGGAAAGAATCTAGGGTTTCTCTGGCTAGTCCTCCCCGGAGATCGGCTCCAAGTCCATTCATCGTGAACATGGTGAAAAAATGTGAAAAACACACTTAATCCTTTCTGTAGCATGCAAACAAAAGGTGCCAAGGCGTTTGAAGGTTCGAAGAGCGAATTCGCCCACGAATTGACACCTGACAGAAGCTTTACAATTCCGATTTCCATGTTTTTCTGCGGCGAAGAACTGTGATTCATCCGCCCTGCCAGCATGGATTTCCTCATGCTTACCTGGCTGTCTGGCACCAAGCACTTGGAAGCCATTCGAAGTGGTTTTCCAACCTCTTCTGATGAAAGGAACATCAAGGAACCAGACGACAGCATCAAAGGGCACTATGGTAGAATAAGGTAGATATTTCCAGTAGATTCAGTAGATATGACCAACTGGCCTTAATGGAAGGCAATGTGCTCAGGTGAACACCATTTGAACATGACAAATGTCGAGGCTGGAGCTCTGGCCGCTGCCTTGCGGGTGTGTGATGCGCCAGAGAAGAAGCGACAGGTGCCGGGGGATGCACTGAGCCTAGGGCCCAGGTGGAAGAATTCTGAGATTCTGACTATTCGGATGTTGAGCCTTCAAGGTTTTCAGTGCCAGTTGTGGGTGATTTTTTTCAACATCCTTGGCAACCTTGGAATGATGTCTGTTGCCAAGGGCAGGGAGTCACAGAAAACCGTTTGAAGAATGCTGGACTACCGCTTGCTAGATATTGTCTTGTTGAATAACTTGCTCGTGAAGCTGAACTAGAGTTCTCTTCCTTCAACAATTCGCTGAAAGATCCTAGAATCCCACTAGATCTACCAGAGTTTGAAGATTTAACCCAGTGGATCAGACTGATCAGACCCTCGAAGGAGCTAGTGAAAGATGTGATGATTTGGCCTGCACAATATTCAAGTGAAGAATTGCTCGTGAGCTGTGAAGAGGACTTGGGAAAGGGGCACTCGTTACGAAAACACGAGGGGTGACATGAAGCACAGCCATCAAGCGCAGACATGAAGCAAGTGCTGAACATCTCTTTTGAATGGCCGACTCTGGCCCACCTTAGAATCATGGCACCATGCCAGGAGCTGTTGCAACTTTGGATCCGTTGCAAGGATGAGATGGTGGAGTTGCTTTGATGCAGCCAGCTCCCACATAGTCTTCCTTTTTCAGTGTTGCTGGATTGGGTTTGTTTGCGCCTCGCATAGATTTGTAGATTTTGTTTGCGCCTGCCAACCAGGTTCCATCATGTCTTCCGTTTTCTGGAGGTGGCGAATTGCAGCAGAGTATGTTGAAAGAGGGGGCAAGAAAGAAGAACATTATACAATATGATCGCGAAAGCTAGCTTCTGCTAGCTGAAGTCCCTCTTGCTTTAGCAAGGTATTGGGGGGATGGAATCTCGAATCGCGAGAAACTTCTCAGTTAACTACCCTCCCCCTCCTTTCACAAGCAGTTTGATCGTGGGCTCAACCCCTCCCGGGACACGGTCAGTAACAGCACCGGCACGATCACTGGTATCCACCCTCTACTCTGGAGTCCACACTTTGCACGCTAAACTTTACACTCAGCATCTTACACGTTACACTCCACACTCGACATGTTACACTTACCTGTCAACGCACTTTACACTTCACACTTCACATGCTAAACGTTACACTCCACACCTTACACGTTACACTCCACATCCGACATGTTACACTTCACTGCCAACGCGCTTTGCACTCCATACTTTACACTCTAAACTTTACGCTTCACACTTTACACTTCGCACTCTGCAGTCCACACTTTACACCCACACTGTACACTTGGCACTCCACACTCTACGTTTACACGTGACACTCACAATTTAATCTGTATGCTTTTGCACTTTACACTTTACACTTCACGTTAGACCCCCACAACTTTGCCCTTTTCACACTTGACTGTATGGAACCTTGGCCTAGCTCCATTGTCATGTTGCGTGCGCACATCTACCTGTCGTCCTGAACTTTCGCCGCTCGCTGCGTTATTTCTTCCCACGCTTCCAAAGGTCCACTCCGGTGCCGACGGTGGACCTTTGAATTTTCCCCTACACTGTGCACTCTGCACTCCGCATTTTACACTCCACACTTTACACTCTAAACTTGCACGCCACACTTTACACGCCACACTCCACACTCGACAGTTTATACTCAACTCTTAACGTACTTTACACGCCACAGTTTACACTCTAAACTTTACACTCCACACTTTGAACTCTAATTTTTATCACACTTTACACCCCACACTCCACACTCCACACTGTACACTCGACACTTGGCACTCCACACTCTACTTGTACACGTGTCACTCACACTTTTAGGTTTACGCTTTCACACTTTCCACTGTACACTTGACTTTAGACCCTCACAACTTTGCCCTTTTCACACTTGACGCTGTATGGAACCTTGGCCTTGCTCCATTTTCATGTTGCGTGCGCACATTACCTGTCGTCGTAAACTGTCGCCTCGCACTGCGTGGCGTCTTCCCGCACTTCCAAAGGTCCACTCCGGTGCCGAAGGTGGACCTTTGAATTTTCCCGACTCAGTTGTCATGATCTTGTCTATGCTGAATGTCTTCATTTGCTTCGTGCAACCGTAGACAGCAATCATATGTTCTCATCCTTGTCCCCTCCAAAATACATGACTTCTCACTTAACTACCCTCCCCGAAAAAATGTAAAAAAAGTTGATTCAGTGAAGTTTTCTAAACTAATATCATAGCAGTATAACAAATCAAAATGTATTCATTAAAAAAACATAACAGTCCAAAAAGCCAGTTTATATATTGTTAATTGCTTCATTTTTCTCAACAATATCAAAACATAATTACCTCATTCAAATTTTAAAAATCATAGCAGTCAAAGCATACTTACCTCATTCAATTTTTCAAAATCATAGCAGTCAAAGCATACTTACCTCAGTCATTTTTTCAAAATCATAGCAGTCAAAGCATACTTACCTCATTCATTTTTTCAAATTCATAGCAGTCAAAAGCATTATTACCTTATTCATTTTACAAAATCCTATCCATCAACCGTTTCTAAATTCCTTTTATGCTTCTCTGTTTTTAAATGTCTTGAATAACATTGTGCCTTCATTGATGAATTACATACATTACAAAAGGCAACTTTATCACGATAGTTTTGTATTTGTTCCTGTTTCTTTTTTCTATATTCTTAATCTTCTTTATATTTAGTTCTTCGTGTTTCATTCACTTTATCTTTATGTTTGTCATAGTTCTTTCTCTTGTATTCCAAGCATGTCTTACAAGTCTTCAATCCATCTTCAAAATTATCAATTGGTAAATCTTTTACACAGTATCTACAAAATTTATCCATTAGATATAAATATGATCATCTTCTTAAATGTCTTTTCCAAGAATTCCTATAACAACCAAAAACAAAAGCAAACCAAGCGAAGAACAAAAAGAAAAAACAAAACAATAGACAACAATAAACATTATTCCCTACCCTTTAATAACCCTATCTTACAAATCCATAATTCTAATAAATAAATATTATTAGAAATATGTTAGTAGTAAATATCTTCAATAATTATCAATTCAAAATGAAATGCTTGTATTCCTATTATACTATCTTTATCCTGGTCTTCTTCTATGTCGGTATTTATTTCTTCATCTGCTTTATTCAATACATCTTCTATATTATCTTCATCTACATATTCATCAAAGTCATGCATGAAGTAAATTTCTCTATAACTAAATTCATTGTCTCCATATTCTTTATCTGGGAGTTTTGCTACTATTTGGACTTCAATATCAAGTTTAACTCTAAAATTTAAATTATTTTCTTCTACTTCTTCATAAATCAAAGATAGTAATTTTTCTTTTTCTTCTGTTATGATGTTTCCTATACTTTTTAAACCAAATGGCACTCCCTCTCTCACAATACAGTATTCAATTACATTTTTTTTCTTGGTTTCAAATGTCTTGTTATTTTAGGACCAAATCTTGATATTTTATGTTTGTTCCGTATTCTCTTCAATGCTTCACTATGCTTTATTGTCAAATATTTAGGGTCTCCAATTTTATAAGGAACGATCTTACGCAACGCATCAACAGGCAAACCCTTCATACAATTCGTCTTATAAAAACTTATATATATATATAACTTAGTCTTTCAGTATATATTCCAAGATTAAAATGTAGAATTCTTTGAAAAACTACTTAAAGATAAATTAACTAAATAAAATATATACTATTATATGGTGAAAAAGGTTATAAACTATTTATTGAGTAACGATTTAGCAGAAATACCAAAACGAGGAAGAAGAGAATTAAAGTCAATAATAATAATAATGATAAGACATTCAGATACAACAAAGACACACCAATATCTAGTGTCTTAACAAAGAAACTACTGACGGTCAAGAAAACTAATGAATACAGAAGTTATGCTTTAAACAAGGCAAAAGATGCGGTCAGTGAAGGAAGAGTGAGACAAATACTAACCAAACACGCAATCACAAATAAATTTAGGGTCAGAGATATTCAATCAGCATTTAGAAGATACGCTAATTCAATAGTTTTAGAAAGTAAACACTTTCAAGGAGAAAGGGGATTAGAAATGATTGTGCACCAAAAACAAAGACTATCAGATTTTTTAAGAAATAATAGAAGCATGAAACTTCACATAAGAACGGAAGGATTATTTGAAAAACCTGAATTTGATGATGGAGGAAATGAATTAGGAAGTCAGGAACTTGTAGCCCTACCATCAACCCGCTTCAATATTAGTAATGAGGATGAACTGACGCAAGCATTAGAAGACAGTGTTAAACAAATCTTATTACAAATACAGAATTTAGAAGCATCAGCATCCAATTTAAGATTCAAGAAAATTTTGACAATAACCATTCACTATGACAAATATGACCCAACAAGAGCAGGGAGATACATAGAATTACCTGAATGGATTAAGCTAAAAAAGGCATGTATCAACATAAAGAACAGAGACCAAAAATGCTTCAAATATTGTATTCAATCCGTAGTCTATGACAAAATAAGCAAACACCACCCAGAGGAAATGTTCCACTATAATAAACTGAAAGATGATATTTTGAACTGGGATGGTATGGTGTACATTTTCCAACTGGCAATAGGGACATTGACAGATTTGAAGAGAACAATAAATCAGTTTCAATAAATATGTTTGAACCCGATGACTGCTTAAATGATAATAAGATTATATTGCATAGAGGCACTAAAAATAGAAATGCTAAATACGAAATTGATTTACTAAAAATCTATGATGAAGATAATAGTTATCACTACGTATTAGTTAAAAATAGATGTAGATTATTAAACGGTCAAAGCAGTAGCAACACAAATAAACAGTTTTACTGCCACCATTGTTTAAATCCCTTTCAATCAGAAAAGGTATATAAGAAACATCTTGAAATCGGATGTATGGCATCAGAAGGACAACAAACAAAGATGCCAGATAAAGACACCTATATAGAATTTGAAAAGCATAATACTAAATTGCCTTGTCCTTTTGTAATCTATGGTGATTTTGAATGTCTAACGACTAACTCTAAAAATGGTATAAAAGGCACATATCAGGAACATAAACCTTGCGGTTATATGTTGAATGTTGTAAGCAGGATTGATAATACTTGCAAGCCGTATTTATACAGGGGTGAGGATTGTATGAAACACTTTGTAGAGAAACTGACGGAAATTAAGAAAGATATATTTGCAAAAATGAATGTCAATGAACCAATGGATAAACTAACTTTTCAACAAAAGACAGAATTTAGACAAGCAACCCACTGCTCTATATGTAATAAGAAATTCCAACCTGAGGATGAGAAAGTCCGCGACCACTGCCCCTTCACAGGCAAATACAGAGGCGCGGCGCATGTAAAGTGTAATCTGGATTCTTCATTTAGGTATTTTAAAATCCCTATTTTCTTTCATAATCTTAAAAATTATGACGCTCACTTAATCATAGCAAAAGCAAATGAACTAAACATAGAACTAAACCAAAACAAAAGAATAGATGTAATAGCACAAAACAGCGAAAAGTTCATAACCTTTTCATTTGGCGCTTGTCAGTTTAAAGACAGTTTTGCTTTCTTAACAGCATCATTAGATAAATTAGTTAGACTGAACAAATATGAAGGAAATGAAAAGATTAAAGACTGGGAAACTCGTTTTAGATATACAAGCACTAACCCATACATTAAATCCAAAACTGATTTGAATTTACTAACTGAGAAAGGGGTGTATCCCTATGACTACATGAATTCATGGAATAAGTTTGATGAAACAAAACTACCAAAGAAAGAAGACTTTTACAGTAAATTATATGAAGAAAACATAACTGACAAAGACTACGCCAGAGCAAACATTGTATGGACACATTTTAACATTTAAAACCTTGGCGAATATCATGATTTATATTTGATGACTGATGTATATTTACTAACTGATGTTTTTGAAAAAATTAGGGACATGTGCTTGAACTATTATGGATTAGACCCAGCATATTATATCACTTTACCTAACTATTCTTGGAATGCCTTTTTATCATTGACAGGAGTTAGACTAGAACAAATACACAAAAAAGACATGTATGAGATGATTGAACATGGATTACGAGGAGGAATGACACAGTGCTCCTTTAAGAAGGTAGAAGCAAACAATAAATACATGAATGAAGATTATGATAAATCTAAACCTTCATCATACATAAGTTATTTAGATGCTAATAACCTTTACGGATTAGCAATGTGTAAGAAA